TAGTTCGGGCTGGGCATTTTGTCCGGTTGAAATTCAGGAGGCGCCTGGCTCTCTTCCAATAAGCACCTTGCCACACAAAATCCACAGTTTCTGAAAATAATAGAGATCAGATAATGTCCCTTTCTAACTCATTCCACACCCTCTAAAAGGGAAACAAAGCCAGGAAAAATCATCTGGGCTTAGCAGTCTCTTTCTTCACTTTCTGGAGTAAAAGAGTTGGCCTCCATTTATGTTTGAGCCTTGATCTTAGCTATGTCTATTTTTAAAGCTGATTTGAGGTTCAGACTTAGCATTTACCCTTTTAAAAAGTATCTGTTTAAAAGAAAGTTTTATGACAGTCACTAGATTGCCTTCATGAGTATTTTAGGAGTATCATCCCCATATATTAACACACTGGCTCATTTGGCTTCATATTTAATCGCACTATCTCTCCAGAAAGCCCTTAATGACACCATCTTGCATCCAACCTTCATAATTTGGCTCCCCGCAAAATCAGAGAGCAGGGCTTCCCAGGCACCATCTTACTGCCATTGTGGGCCAAATGTGATTCTCCCCAGCTGCTGCTGCGCTTCCTCCTTTATGGCAGGGGCTTGCCTGATCGCTCCTGAGCCATTCCAGGAACCAGAAGCCTTCCAGGCAACAAGGGGCTATTAGATGCAACCTGCTTGGGCCAGGGCCATATTCTGCTCCCAGTGATAACTAATGCATGCTTCTGCCAGTATTTTTTCATTCTATTGCTTAAGAGGATTGCCTCCCACATTTGCACAAAGGATTTCCCTAGATAAAGAAGGTCTGAGAATGGCCAAATCTTGCCAGAATTCAATAAATGGCATATAAAAGCCTCAAAAAAAACAAAAAACAAAAAACCCTGGAGTATCAAAATGGTGGCAGGTTCAACTATGACAAATGTGGTTGCCTGAAAAACAGATGAGAGACACAAAGGGCATCTCTGTCTTCACCTGGGAACTAAGAGAAAGATGGCGATTTCTCTGCACATATGCTGGTCTGTAGCCTCCACAGCTGCCAGCTCTAAAGAAAAGGGCAGCACTCATCTGCTTTATAAAGAGTTGAAAAGATTTTTGTAATTTTCCTGGGGTCCCAAGCTTTTTTTTTTTTTTTTTTTTTTTTTTGGTATTACCCATAATGTGTTTGTCCATGGGATAAACAGAGATGCCCTCCCCCAACGATTACATTTGCTTAAAGGAAAACACAGCTGCCTTTCTTGAATATCAAGATGTAACTGGGACTAGTGAGACCAAACAAAGATTTCAAAGGGAAGAAAAGTTTTTACAGCATAAAAGGTACTCCACTGAGATTAAAAGAAAGATATGGCAAAGTGATGACTATTCTCCATAGGGACAAAAGGTCCAATTGAGAAAGAAGCTCTAGGTGCCATTTTCCAGAAGAGTCACCTGCCACTACTTGGAGCTCTTACAGATATTTAGGAGTCAGAATTTCAGACTCCTCCCACCTCTGGGGTTCATGGGGGAGAGTGTGCACACATTTCTCCCCTGAGGCAAGGCCAACAGTTAATTACTCGACCACTGACACCTTGGGATAATTGAACATGAAGTCCATTTCTTAATGATTCTCCCTTAAAGAACCAACACCACACTGCTAGCTACTGTGCCTGTAGTCCTAGCTATTCAGGAGGTGAGACAGGACGGTCACTTGAGCCCAGGAGGTCGAGGCTGCAGTGAGCTATGGTCATGCCACTGTACTCCAGCCTGAATGACAAAGTGAGACCCTGAAAAAGAAAGAAGGAAAGATGGAAAAAAAAGAACGAACGAAAGAAGGAAGGAAGGAAGGAAGGAAGGAGGGAAGGAAGGAAGGAGGGAGAAAGGAAGGAGAAAGGAAGGAGGGAGGGAGGGAAGGAAGGAAGGAAGGAAGGAAGGAAGGAAGGAGGGAGGGAGGGAGGGAGGGAGGGAGGGAGGGAGGGAAGGAAGGAAAAGAAAAGAAAGAAAGAAAAGGGGAGGGGAGAGGAGGTGAGGGGAGGGGGGAGATGGGAGGAGGAGAGGGGAAAGAGAGGAAGGGAGGGAGGGAGGGAGGGAGAGAGGGAGGAAGGAAGGAAGGAAGGAAGGAAGGAAGGAAGGAAGGAAGGAAGGAAGGGAGGAAAGCTGTGGAGAAATATGTGCTAACTCAAACAAAAGCAAGCAAGTCACCTGTTCCTTTGGGAGTGTACTGTATTGCTAAGAGGGCCCATCCCATCCAAACTATGGAAAGTAGCAAGAGATGATGATGAACCTAATTAGCATTAGTTATTACTTGCTGTTGTTACAATTGCATTGAATAACGTTGCTGCCAGCAGTGCTGTTTTATATGATGTCTTCTTCACGTGGCAACCTTTTCATAAATCAAAGCAAACACCAATACCAGACAGTTTCTTGTACAGCCTGCCTGACAATAAAAGTTAACACTGAACCTTAGCTGTTATCAATCTTCATAAATGTGTCCACGATGTGGCAAGACTGCTCCACATTACAGTGGGGCTGCCACTAATGCATGCAAGGTAGTGACCCAGTAGGTTAATGGGACTTGACAATCAGTCCAGTTTTAATTGAGCCAGAAAAAGGAATGGCTCTCTTGTCCTTAAAGTACACAGGAATTTTCTCCTCTATGTCATAGTTCCATCAGTGCTTTGCTCAGAAAATGCCTATAATTAAGTTTAACATAGACTGGAATAACAGACAACAGAAACCTCACGGGGGAAAGTGGGTGGGTAGAGGACTTTATAAGAAGAAAACTTGTTATGAAGTATTTAATTGGTATTCTTGATAGAGAGCTACCTGACTTGAAGATTCCCTGTTTTCAAGTTCAAATCTCAAACTAGAAAATACATAAATCTGTCTACATGAATAGAAGCAAAAAACAGTCTTTAAAAATAGCAAAGGTCAATAAATTTTTAAGTATCAATAACTTTCCCTTGACAAAAATTCACATTATATAGAAATCTGAATGGAAGGAATTCCCAATTAATAAGTCTTAATGTAATAAATACTCCATCATGTTTTGAATTTCGCTATAGCCCTGACTACCCTATTGATACCGTCAAGAGGAAAGCCCATCTTCTATCTGGCATGTACTGGAGATGAACTCTGGCCATTAGCTACCGTTCAACAAAAATCAGCCCTGTATTAACAGCCTGTAATGAAGACCATTAACAGCCAGATAAATCAAACCATTAGGCCAGACACAGAGATGTCAACATAGCCACAGGCTCCTAATTTACAGAACAAAGTTATTTCAGTATGTAGTTCCCAAGCACAGTATATATGCCAAGTGCTTGTGGAGATCAATAAAGAGGACAAAATACAATTCCTGCCCTCAAGAAGGCTTCAGTTCAGCTAAGAATGAGATTCACATGCTGTTAACTAGATGGTGACCTTGGTAATGGGCCCTTCAAACTCCCAAGTCTGTAATTCTTTCTTAGCTTTTAGACAACAGTTTCCTCTAGTGTAAAATTCAGCGCTATATTAGGTCCCTTCTAGAGTAAAAGCATTCTTATTTGTACCTGTGAGTGAGTTAGCCCAGGCTTCTAAATCTAGAATGTAGTTTAAATGCACACACATGAGAAAATGCACTATTTTTTTTTTCTTTTTGCTTTTTTTAAGTTGCCCCTAACCTCTAGTCTTCCATTCCGAACGACAGGAGTCTACGTTAAGAAGCATGGACATTTTGTTAAGAGTTCAATTTAGTAAATGGAAATATTGATACTAATTGAGCACGTGTTAGAAAGAGGCGTGCTACCATCACGCTGGCTCAGTTACAGCTCATGCCTTACATGGCTCATGCCTGAGAAGGGAGACGGGGCACAGGGAACACTAGTGTCACTTAGGTTGTCAGAATGGCTAGAGTTACATAAACATACAGGGGAACAATTAATCCATTACGGCTTTTTAGTAGGAAGGGAGATGTCTAGAAAGACTTTACAGAGAAAGCAGAGGAATTACCACGAGACAGGTCCTAACAAATGGCTGAGTTGATCGGGAGGAAAGTGGCGCAGGTGAGGTGTGCTGTGGCCGTGCTGTTGAGGAGTGCGAGCCGGGCCAAGTGTGAGCACGGAAGGCACGCCCTCCCTTGAGTGAATGAACCCTCAAGTGCATGAGAGGAGGTAGCAAAAGATCAGGCCCAGGAGGTATCCAAGGTTATTTTGCATACTGTGGTTTAATATTTTAGGTTTTGGCTGTTTGTCACAACTTCTATATTATGACTCATTAGATAATGTTGATTATTTAGCTTTGAAGGGAAAATTTACTTCGCTTTTAATCATTTGGATCAGACTGACGGATGAGCATATTGTGGTTGCAAGGCATGCTGTTAAAAACAGAAGTTATTACTTGCCACTACTTACCACTGCAAACCAGGATCATGATGCCACTGCAACCGAACACATAACTTTGGCTGCTGGGACTGATCCAGGACTGCGGTCATCATCCTTAGCCCCTGATTTTTAAATGTTGTATTCATAAAAATAAGCTTCATTGTTCTCTTTACAATGAGCGAAGGTTGAAGTAAGCTTAAAAACTAGAGTCATAGTAATAAGATAGCATATTATCAGGTAGTGGGTATTAGGATTCCACTAACTGCTGACAAAAAATGTGTGAAAACAACAGGAGGTACTGGTAGGGAGGGAGGCTCCTCTTTCCGCATCCCTTTCTCTCTCTCTACAGGGATCTATCTCTTTTCATAGAAACAATGCTACACCTGTGATTGAGTTAGCCCAGGCTGTCATATCCAGAATGTAGTTTAAACACACACATACATACGGGAAAATGTACTACCTTTTTTTCTTTTTGCTTTTTTGCTGCCCCTAAAGTCTAGTCTTCTGTTCTGAACTGCAGGGGTTAAGCAGGCTTTTGGGGACTAATCCAGATACTTAGCCACACTGTCCTTTTTTTGCTTCTGGAAAAATAAAAATGTGGCCCAAATGCTGAGCAACTGACTGCAGAACACGTTAGGAAGAATCTGGTTTGTTCATTATAGACTACCAACCTATCCACTGCCTAGAATCTCAAATGAATAAAAATATTCTAAAGCTATGACAAGGTTTTAGGTGAGAACTATATCATGAACTAACAATGGCTGCATTCTATCAGAGCACACCATTCCATATGTATTCCTAACCAAATTATGCAGCTCTCATGTGGCATGTTAACATATAATTATTTTGAGTGGTGCTGCTAACTGTTGGTTAATAATTTGACAGAAAACATTTACCTTTAAACACATGCTTTTAGGAGGCCTGGTATACTCTCAATTGCAATTTTATTGCGTTCACTGATTATCCTCTAGGGAAATATATATTAGATCATATGATGGGCATCAATTAGAAAAAAAAAAAAAAACTCGAAAACTGAACTATTGATGACTATAGCAATTACTAATAGCTCACTATTCAGTAAGGATGTGCTAAAAATGGAAATGGACCTCATTTAATTCCGACATAACATCTCTGTTTTTATCACCATTTCACAGACATCAAATCTAAGGCAGTGTGGGGTGCGGGTGGGGAGGAAAATGAGAAGTAACTGCTAGAATAGGTCTACCGCATGATGTGAAGAATAGCCATAAACATATTCATTAAACATTTTACACACCTGGATACTTATTATCTCATTGTACCTATATTGACATTATGGAGTAGAAAAATGAAGAGAAGTCCTGATTAACTTAAAAAAGAAGTCAGGAAGACCAAGAACCACAGACGAGAGAAAAATAAGCATATTTTCTGGTAGATGCCGTAGCAAAACCTGTAGTATATTAAACATTTGCTGTTTTTTTTAAATCTACTTCCTAGATACTATAGCATATAAAGGGGGAATTTTATGACATGAAGTACAAATAGATGTGTCATTAATAAGAATGGATCAGCCTTTCTGAAGAACGTGGCCAAAAGCTTAGCACTCAAATCTTTTAAAGATCCCAGCCTAATGTACTCTCTGGAGCAACAGTCCTATTTTCTTTGCCTCATCAAGTTCTAAGAATGTATTTTTCATTTGTCTTGCTGTCTGTTAGAAAAGGTGAAGATGTGTATACGTTTTGGTTTTCAATTCTCCTATTATATCAGCTTCTCAGTGCTTCACTTTCCAAATGCTCAAAAGAGGTATGGATTGACATTTCTGCCAAAGGACAATTTTTTGCTCTGTAGTTTTTCCCAGAGTTAATGGAAAAAGTTCTGCCACTAATCTTTTCAATTCACCTCTAGGGAATTACAAACTAGCAGCAAAAGCTGCAAAGGTTGTGCCAAAATGCAGTATTTTTAAATTACACCAGTCAAAAAGCCTACAATTTTCACAAAACAGGATTTCCTTTAAAAAAAAAAAAAAAAAAAAGTCCTGGGAGGCCAATTTTTGATTCATATTGTGATATAACTTCTATGGTTAAATAACCTGGGCCCTGACTCTAACTCTACTAGACCCCTAAAAGAAACTAACCTATAGAGAGCTGAGTACCTATTATAGGCCCAGAATTTTACCCACATTTCATTAGCCCTTATTGGCAACCCATGAGGTATTATATTTACATGTCCTATATCAGCAAAAAGAAGCTCAAAAGGTTAAGTGGCCTATTGCTACACAGTTGGAAGGAATGGTCACAATTCAAACCCCATGCACGTTACAGAAATAAAAGTACCAGTTCCTTAGGGTTTAGGTATGCTTTTGTTCACTGCAGCCTTCTTCTGCACTATCCAAAAAAACCAAACAACAACAACAAAACCAATCACTTGAAAGAACCTTTCAGTAGAGGACTACAGACCTCTATAGGTCTATGAGACATGATGCAGCTATTTAGAATGAGTTAGATTGAGGCGGAGTCTTGCGCTGTTGCCAGGCTGGAGTGCAGTGGTGGGATCTCTGCTCACTGCAACCTCTGTCTCCTGGGTTCAAGTGATTCTCCTACCCTAAGCTTCCTGAGTAGCTGGGACTACAAGCGCACGTCACCATGCCCAGTTCATTTTTGTATTTTTAGTAGAGACAGGGTTTCACCATGTGGGCCAGGATGGTCTTGATTTCTTGACCTTGTGATCTGTCTGCCTTGGCCTCTCAAAATGCTGGGATTACAGGGTGAGCCACAGCGCCCGGCCAATGAGCTGGATTTATTTGTGCTGGCCCAGGGGGATGTATCCATAATAAATGTATGTTAAAATACATATGGTATAGTCTTAAATTTCATGAAAACAAAACAAAATCTACATTTATTAATGTATCTATTCATAGAGATAAATGTGAAAGGCTAAATATCAAACTATGACTTCAAGACATGCTTTGCTTTTAAAAGGTTGATCTGGAAGAAAAAAAGAGGAGTAAAATTACATTTCCCTTGTTACAAGAAAAAAATACTTCCTTGATAAATTAAATGAGAAAAAAATCTAATACAGCAGTCCTCCTTTATCAATGGGGGACACATTCCAAGATATCTAGTGGATGCCTGAAACCATGAATAGTACTTAACTGTAGGTCAACTACGTTTTTTCCTACACATACCTCTACGATAGTATAATTTATAAATTAAGCACAGTAAGAGACTAACAACAAGAATAATAAAATATAACAATATACTAGAATAAAAGTTATGTGAATGTAGTTTTTCAATATCTTATTGTATTCTGCAAAAAGCAAAATTGCAGATAAGGGGGGCCACCTGTTGTATTTATTCATTTCATATCCTTTTCATTACACAAAGTCTCCAGGAAGGATAGAAAAAAAAAAAAAAAAGGTTTAACTAAATAAAAATCAATTCCAAATGAAAATAAAATAAAAAATTAAAAAGAAAAAATGTTCCTAAAATTCAATGGGAAGAAGAGTGAATACTTTAAAATGTTCATTTAATAATCAAGTAGACTAGCAATAGAAAATCTACCTAGGATGTGAGCTTATTTTATCTATTTTGGGCACATTCAATCAGAATTATAGACATAAGTTAAAAATTAGACATCCAGAAAAAACATATTTGAATAAACCACATACAATTTGTCTCTAACACACTCTTTGCAATGACATGAAGAACCTGGTACCATGCGAATTCTTAAGACATCATTCAAAGATATCATGGCTAAGAGTAAAGAAAGCTAATGGTAAACCATTTCAATTGGTATGAAAAGATGAGGCTCATTTTTGTCTAATGCTCTGGGATTTCTCCAGGCAGGATCCCATGAACCCAGTCTTTCCTCAACTCTCTCCTCCACACCTTTTCAGTCAGAACTAGTCTTTCCTATGTCCCATCCTCTCAAGCCCCTGAACTTTGCTATCGATCAACATGATAAGCTAATATGTGCTTATTTTTGAGTCACATTAGTATATTAATAGAGTGATAGTCATTCATTTGATACAGTAAACTATAATTACTATATAATAAACATACACAACATCTATGCACCTAATATTATATTGTAGTATTTGATAGAAGACTTCCAGAAACAATGACCAGCTCAAAAGGGATAATCCTAGTAGTGACAATTATGGGCACCAGGGATAGGTGAAAGAAAAAATATCCCAAGTAGGTAGAACTCTAGGTTGAATCTTTACGCACTATTAACTCTGCCCTTTAAAATAGGGCATTTCAAGACCTTCAAGTCTGACGCCAGTCTTCCTCTGTGGTCTCATATTGCATCAGTCCTCCCTCACACTCTTCCAATCATTTCCAGTATTCAATTCCCTCTTCATGGCAAGGCCATTCTCCCTCTTCTTACAGTAAGAAAATCTCAAGGTGAGAAGATCCAGCTTATGCCAATCACCACTTCACGCAATCCAGATTCCCCTGGGATTCCCCTCCTATTCCTATTGCATTTTATCGTTTGTACCTTCATATTAACATTTACCATGTTTTGGTCATTTTTTTGTATTCCCAGTTTATAACAACCATATGGCATGTATAAGATACCCAAATTTTTCATGAACTAATCTTTCAGTAATAATTCCTGCATCAGGTTTTGATACTTCTACAGTCGAGCTAATGATCCCAATGAGTATAAGCCCTCTGAGGGCAGGAACTCAAACTGTATTTCTGTATTTTCAGGGCTCATAGAACATGGAACATCAAAGAGACCCTTGATGAATTGATGTGTTAATACTGAGGATGATAATCTCTTCAAAGCAAAATTGTCACATTAATACCGTAAATCTATATATATGTAATGGAGCTCACTGGGGGAAGAAACCACACAAATAAGGACAGGGTATCAGAATTCACTAACAGAAAAGAACTCCCAAGACAGGGGAGTCAAAATAGGTCTGCTGGTAATATATAACATCTCAAATTCAAAGACTTCAAAAACACTCCCAAATCAACACCCAACTAACCAAACCCAAACCACAAATGATTTCAGTTGTGACAAAGCATTTTGCTCCCACTTCTTGTCAATTAACCGTGATGTCTTAGAGATGTATTCTACACCAGCAATGCTATTTTCTTCATTACACTAGCGTCTTTTGTATTGGAGAAACACTATCAGGAAAAGACAAGAACTGGTTGATTATGAGCCGTACCAAATGAGCTGTAATGGAGGTGTTATGAATGTAAATCAGTGAAGCCTGATGCAGAAAACAGCAGCATCTGGGCATGCAGCTTGCAAAGTAATGAGACTGTGATAATGCACTGGCACCCAGCTTTGATCACTTCATCTTGTTCAAGACATTTGCTTGGGAAACAAAGGTGTGAGGCACTGACCTCCTGCCCACAGCTTGCACAAGCACAGAAAATGGTAACAGATCAAGGACTGATACCTTTCTCTTTTCTCCTCCTTGCCAACACACCCCCTTTTCAGAACTGATGGTTTCATAGTTGGGGGCCCAGCATAAGGCAGGCTGAGCAAGCTTCTACCATATGAAGCGTCATGTCTGAACATGTCTACTATAATTGGCAATTCATTTTTCATCCTGAAAGCAGGAACAGGTGTATGCTACCTTCAACATCTCTCACACAGGCAGCTTTGTTGAGCTCTATGCCAGTGGCGAACTGGTGAACTTCAGAGTCTGCATGGATGGCTCTGTCTCACAAATGAATAGGTATTTGTGTAATTTCAGATGCTCAAGAGAACAAGAGGAGGAGCAACTGGCAGTGCATAAAAAATTAAAAATCCCACCACACAGCAGCAGCCCTTGGTCTTTCTTGTGTAAATAACGTAATTGGCAAATAGCATACTTCTTTGTAATTGCAATATCCCTACAATGCATGTTTAACATACTAAAAAAGGAGGTTTTAGTCCTTGAAAAGGAGTATAAAGCCAGATGTATCACTGCACAGTGTTTCTAGCCAGCTCCATCCAGAAACACTAGCTGAGGTGACTTGTGAAATGGAGCCAAGAGCAAGAACTCTCCTTAATGAGCACATTTATCAAATTTCCAGGGATTCAGTTGATTACCAGCATTTAGACATACACATTCACAAAAGGAACACAGCAATTTAACTATTGGCCACTGAATGAGAAAGCACATGAAATAACTTAAGGCAGGCATGTGAGCAAGCTGGGGATGCTTGGCGACACTTTAACATATGAACATGTGTGCTTTCATTTCAACATGTAAGGAAGGGCCAAGACGAAAAGCTTTTACAAGTTTTCAAGCATTCTGCCAGGACTCAATAAATAGTATGAATAAATTACTGCATATGATTATTATATTAAAAAGTACCAGTGCTACTGTACAAATGCTTCATTCACAAATACTGCCTTTGAAATCCCTTTATCAAAAGTGATTTTCAAACCTTAACCAAGCCTACCTGCAAGGCTCCTAGGTTGAAGAGGAGAGTACAACAGGCATATGTAACTTCATGCGGTGGAAAAAAGACTGATTCTTTAAGAAAATGAATAAATGAAATATAAGCAAGATTTATCCCTCTCTATTTCTATAGTAATAAAATATCCTGAATGAACAGCCCTGAGTTTGAGATAAGGGATTCAAATTCTAATGAAAAAAACATGACTATGGATAGGATTAGGAATCATTTATTTAAGACTGTGATTAAATTGAAGAAACATTTTACCCACAGTCAGAAGCTGGGAATTCCCAATATCTGTGGTATTTTTTCCTAACTGAATTTAGGGTGTTGTAGGTATAATTAACGTACAGGTTGAGTATCCTTTACTTGCAATGCTTGGGAATGGAAGTGTTTTTGAATGTGAGTTTTGGAATTTGGAATATTTGCATATACATAAGGACATATCTTGGGGAAGGGACCCAGACCAAAACATGAAATCCATTTACATTTCATATATGCTACACATAGCCTGAAGGTCATTTTTTTTCTGAGGGACAGTGAATAAACTGCATTTGACCGTGCACCTGCCTTTGACTGTGACCTGTCACATGAGGTCAGGTGTGGAATTTTCAGTTTGTGGCATCATGACGGCACGCAAAAAGTTTTAGATTTTGGAGAATTTGGGGTTTTCAGATTGGGGCTGCTCAGCCTGTATATCATAACATACCGATATCAAGTGTTCATATTGTATTAGAAGTTACATACCCATATCTACTTGTAAAGCCACCACACAGAACACAACAGAATATTCCCCAAACCTCAGAAATGCTGCCTGTGTCTCTTTCCAATCAAATCTCCTCTAGTCCCACCAAAGGCATATTTTGCCTATTTTTGAACTTCATTTAAATGAACCACATAGGAAGTACCGTTTTGTGTCTGGCTTCTTTTTGTGTAGCATGATGTTTGAGATCCATTCGTGCTGTTACATGTATCAGTAGCTTGCTCTGCTCTGCTGCTGAACAGTGTTCTACTGTATGAATATAAAGTAGAACACTGCAGATTTTATCCCTATATTTCAATCAGCTTTGCCATCTGCCCTGTCCCTTTCTGCAGGATACCACTGAGTTGAGTGGAATACTGTGGGTTTTGTTTCTCCATTCCCTTAATGGTGACCAGTTGGATTGCTGATAGTTTTTGATACTATGAATAAACGTGCTATGAACACAGGTGCACAAGTCTTTTTGTAGACGTATATTTTCATTTCTTTTGGGCAATACTTAGGACTAAACTTGTTGCATCATATAGCAACTGTATGCTTTACATTTATAAGGAACTGCCAATATTTTTTTCAAAGGGCTTTTGCCATTGTATACCCCCAGCAGCAAAGTACAAGTTCTGGTTTCTCCACAATCTTCCAGACAATTAGTATTGTCAGTCTTCCTGATTTTCTCCATTCCTATGTTTCAAATGTGCATTTCCCTGATATCTAATCATGTAGAAACCTCTTTCATGTGCTAACTGGCCATTCTTACATCTTCCTTTGAAGTATCCAAGTCTTTTGCCCAGTAAAAAAATTTTCCTAATGATGTCTTAAGATAGGCAGAATTTTAAAATTTCATAAGGTCCAATTTATCAATTTTTGCATTTTGTTTGCTTATGTCTTAAGAAAAATGAGAAGAGCCAGAAATAAGAATCCTTGATAAGACTGAAACCATGAGGGGTGACTTGGTAATTATACATTCATATGAGCAACAAGAATACAAGTTTAAGTACAATGTATCCTGAAAGTTCTGGTTTCAATTTGAGTATGTGGTTTAACCCCAGGCAGAGTGAATGGGCAGCCAAATACATTCATAAGTGAATTATCTGGCTGAAACCAGGGAAGTACTGACAGCATTTGGAATAGGCTTACCAAACTCTGGAGTGATAAAACATAATTAGATGTTATGCTATGGCTGAACCCATGCAATGTTCTAAAAACTATCCTCAGCTACATTTTTATGTGTAGATGACTTCTTTGATACAATTTTTAACTATGCTCAAGTCCTAAGATTGCTAACTTGGCATATCTGACACAAGGACAGAATTTAAATTCTACCTTCTAGAAGTCTTTCTGGACATCTTATAACAGGGCAGGTCAGTCAGACAATTAACTCTAATTGGCCTTTCTACAAGCTTTACTGCTTTCTACCTGTGGCTTAGTTGCACTCAAAATGCAAAATATGTTTTATCTTTGAAAGCATCAAAGGAAAATCAAAGAAATTATTTTTAACTGGAGCCCTTAAAAAGTAAATGAATTCTAGCTGGAATTGTCAAGAGGACAAACTTTGGAGTCTCAAATGTCTTTTTGAACTGTGAGCTGTGTAGTTAATTACTAAAGTAAGCAAAGATCAGTAAACAAATTCCAAAATATCATGTAACCTAGAACTCAGAATACTCTCATTTAAAATATTATGATACAAGGAAAGAAATAAGCTATCATGTTGGCAGAATCTTCATTTAACTCAAAGTGTGCAATTAATATTTCATATAATCACGTAGGGTATACTAGATTCTTAATGGATCTTATTGATTAAGAAGAAAGTTCAATAGCAATGTTCCTGTTGGGGAAGACAGAACAATTTGTTAGCTCACACAGAATGAATCATGAATCCAGGAGCATACGGCCACAAACCTAAGGTCACAAGAATGGTTTGATCATTTACATGTTTACACGTAAGCTGCTCATATGAAAGGAAAGAAGCCGCTTGGTGCAACGTCCACAAACCCCAACTGCCATGGCAAGGGCAGAGAGGAGCACGCCAGGTCCTGCACTGAGGAAGGACGCGGCCAATCTGACTGTACCATCAGCAGCTTACTTCACCAGTTGAGATTCCTTTACACCCTATGCTGAAGTGATGAAAAAAGTTTCCAAAGTGATCCTTTTGGTCTTGCGATCATGTTCGTGAGACGGCTGCAGTTTGCATCGTCTTTTTAGAGGCAATATTTCCTAACAATACTTTGTCCTTGGTGCACACTCCTGCTCCTGCTCCTGCCCTTTTTATCCCTATATTCCCATCAGCTTTGCCATCTGCCCTGCCCTTTTCAGGAGGATATCACTGTGTTGAGTGGAATGCTGTGGTGACCATGAGATATAGTGCAGATGAAAACCTCTCTGGTTAATGTTTCTTGGCATTTACTTCCATTATCTATAGTATTTAGAAGTAGTATAGAGATCTAACTCAAGGAACTAAAAATAAATACTAACCAGACGGATCTGATTCGAAGGGCTTCAATTTTAAAAGGGGGGGAAAAGCATTAATTACCAAAGTTATCTGTTAATATACCCAATTCTAAATGGGTATCATAAGAAATACTATCAAATACTGGCATGCTCCAAAGCCGGTCTCATTTTCCTTGGAACTAATCTGTTGCTTGGTGGGAGGCAGACGGACAAACAAACCAGGCAGATTAACAGCTTGGGAGCTGGGACTACTCTCCAGCTCCCTGATGAGATACGGAAGGAACTACACCTACAACGTTCCTAAAACTGCATCATCTACAACATCATCTACAACACTGAATCAAACAACTTAAGACTATGTTTTAGATAAGGATCAGAGACAACTTTCTTAGTTAACTTTTAAACCTTCTCAGCTTAAATGCCCTACAGAAGATGGCAGTTATAATTTACATTTTACAGATGGAAGACACAAGCCAAACACATAATAAATAACCTGCCTGAGGATCTGGGTATTCTCAATAACCAAGTCTATGTGACAGCCAAATGTGTATTTGCCATTAGCTTCATATACAAGGTACATTTGTAAGTACATAAGCATCTTTCTTCAATTTCAGAACTGAAATCCTCCTCCAGCAGCATATTCGCAAACTCCAGAGGGGACATGAAATACTACGGAAACTGACGTGGGGGAGCTGATGTTTTAAAAACAAAAACCAACAAATAACCCTAAACTTCTAAAAACATAACTGTAACCAGGAGGCTCGTGCACAAAGGGTACAGGTAGATTTACTTTATCCAGAATTTTGCCTCTTCCACTACTAAGTCTCTTACTGAATAATCAAGATGTTACTTGGCTCCAAGGACCTTGGGGAATAAAATGTCACCACTGCAGCTGCTATATTTCTCGCTCACAGCCCTTCAAATTAAAAAAGGGGGGAAAAGGCCCAATACAAATGCAGAATTTAATTAGTTAGTAAAAGCCCAAATCCTTGCCTCAAGCCCTGTTCTTCCTGTAATATCGCATTCTTTTCTTCTTGTGTAAACTTTTCATTATGAAGGAGACAACTTTATAATACAATAACTCTAGTTATAATGTAACCACTGGTGACATAACTCCTGCATTAGAGAAGGCAGTATGTTCAAGTAATGTTGTTTTAATACAATTTGTGTTCAGCAGAAACCAAGTCAACTTGATCATTCAGAATTTGATCAATGTGAATTAGTGTCTTACTGAGATAAAACATTTGATCATTTCAAAACTGATCAATGAGAATCAGAGCTAAAACATTTATCATGTACATTTGGTATATTAGATCCATTCACACAGCACTAAAGTAGGTTATAAGCAGACATCAATACATGTTAGAGAAGATGTTTAGGGTACCTGTCAGCTGTAGATACAAACAGAGGCACATCGGCATATAATTTTAATACTTTTGATAAGGTAAGTTACTCAATAAGGCAGGCGAAGTCACTGACAAATTGCAAGAACTCTACTTCTGAGAAACTAGAAAGCGAAGCACAGAACTGAATAGCTCAAACTTTTGAAATAAGTTTTAATTAAAAGTTTAAGAAAGGAAAGTAAAATAAATTTACCTGACTAAACTTCTAGAAGAATTTTAAGACTATTAATCAGAGTAAACTTTGTATTTTCAGTACAATTAGTTCTATTAATCTAATATTTCCAAATTGAGGTTGCACTGACATTCAGGCTAACTGGCTTATGCATCTAAGAGAATTATAAATTTGCCAGTCAAAACCATATTTAATTATTTTACAGCCAATTAAGCAGGATCTTTAAACACCGCTGCTTAAAACTGTCCATGATACACATGTGTAATTATACAGAACACGAAAAACACCTGCTGATACTATTGGCACGTCTTCCTCAGCTTCACAAATTCATCCGTGGCATTGATATTAAAATCTTACACTGAAAAAAGAAACTAAACATTGCCAGTTAAAGTGTTACGCCCTTAAAGAAAAAATCAAGGACATTTTAAAGGGTTTTACATTGAAGAAAATCTTTAAATACAGGGTAATACTTATAAAATCCATTTTAACTATATGAGTTTTGCATAGCATTTCTCAGATACTCTAAAATCACCTAAACTACTTTTACAGGGTAACTAATCTTTTAATACTTTATAAGGATAACCCAGGCTGCTTCTATGAGCCTAAATTTGTAAGTCGGGTTTCAACAACTTCATTCAAGGATAAAAGCAAAAACCCCTCTAAAATCTGGCACACAAAGGAGTATTACTGGTATTCACATCCAAGTTCATAGAATTGAACTTCTTTAAAAGTGCTTCTTCTTTCAAAGACACTGAAGCCATGTTAAAAAGTTACCTCTAATGAAATCATTCTAAAAATTTTCAATAGATCTATGTCACTTTCCATGCGTATTTTTTTCTTTCTTTCATGGAAAATAGGAACTCACCACTTCATTATGTAGAGGACAGAATGAAAATGAAATATCAATTGTCTTTAAAATGCTTTTCATTTGTTTACTATTACATTGTACGATGTATATTGCCTTTAAACGTCTTTGATACTCGTTTTACATTTACTTGATATTTGCTTTTCTTTTTTAAAAACAATTCACGTGCATAAACACTCTGGTTAACATCTTCCTTCTATAGGTGTGGCATATCAGCTCCAATGTAGCCACAGAGATCTGATGCTGACATTGACCAAGAAACGGGAGGCCGGGAGCACTCCAGCTGCGTTGCTGTGAGGATTCTCTTACGTGCTTTCCTATGAGTGCTTTATGTGGGGGTCGCTCCCAGCTACAGTATGAGCTCCCTAAGGGTAAGAACGCCTTCTAATGTGCTAGTTAGACGTAGCATCTAGAATTTGTTTAAAAACAAATACAGAAATTTCTCTGATGGCACAGTTTCATAACTTTTGAATATCATGATAAAATGTAATATTTATTACTTTGTGCTAGACCTGTGTTAACTATACATGAAACATTATTAAAACAATATTTTGTTTAAGTAATTATCTATAAGGTACAATATAAGGATTAATCTAAAATATAATTTACATTAGGATGAGCTATAACATGGTACTAGTAGCATATAATAGAAACTAGCACCCTAAGTTGCTATAAAATGTGACATGAAGGGTTGATAATTACTGTTTTAGTTGGATTGAGAGAAGAGAAAATATTCCTTTTGAATTAAAGCTACATGTAAAAAGAATGCTGGATTTGCTCAGTGATTTAGGTTTTGAAGCAAAAATTTTAAATCTATTGTGGGAAAGTAAAAAGTCGAAATTATCTTCAAATCCCTTCATTCCCACTGAAATCATGGTAAGTAATATTGTTGATAACTTGATATGCATTACGAATGTAATCACCCCAACACAGGAGAACTAACTTAGGATTTTTAAAAAGATCATTATTTAAAAAGCTTGTCTTGCTTTTGTTTTTCTCTGATGAACTCGGAGTTCCATGCTAGTAGTAAGGTCCTGGCCTGTTTTCTTAGTTGTATATTCAGAGCTCGGCTTGCCACAAGGGGTGGCTCTATGTATGAATGACATGTGGATAAAGGAGGAGAAAACAATCCATTAATTCTAAAGTGTTTTACTGCCAAAACTATGAGGGACTTAAGTATGAGTAAGTATTTTAAACATCCCTAAAATAATTCCATTAGCTATTCTGGTAGGTTGCATCGATGTGCTGGTGTTAGTCATGGGCAGCTTCAAACACTCTTGGTGATTCACTTCAATCACTCTTTACAGTGATTTGTGTGACCCCTCATCAGGTATATAATACTGCCTTGACATTGCATTTTCAAAAGCTTCTATCAAGATGCACACACAAACGAATCCTACTTTCATCAGGTAAAACTAAATAAGTTCTCCTCAAAGTCCTTCAGAACTTGTTGCCTAAGAGGAACTGTTGAGTTCAGGTTTAGATTCAAGATAGAGCTCTTCAAGGTGATGCTTACAGGTGCTAAGCTAGTCATACAGATAGGAGCCAGTGAAAATAACCTGACCAGGCAAAAAATCCCTGTCATGCAATGCAAAGCAAATATTATATATTATCTTACAAAAGTCCTCATTATCTGAGACGGCCAAATTTCTAAGAAGAAATAGCAGTCTACTAAGTAATCTCTGTGTCTTTAAAGATGGTAAGCAACTCCTAGACCCAATGTACTATCACTTCCTAGGTGTGAAGCTAATAAACTCACTGCAAATCAAAATACAACATTCTAGGAAGCTCAGTCTAGCAGGAAGTAGCTGGGGGGGAAAATGATTTAATGAAAACCACTCTCTAAAAAACTAGCTATGAAAATGTCTTCACAGAGTGTTAAAACCTGGGTTTTGTGTGTATTGGAGTTAGTCAAACTGCAAAATCTAAGAGCACAGTCTCCAAAATTGCCCTTGGATTTTGACATCAACAGCAATGGCGGGGCGGGGGGGGGGGGGGTGTTCCAAACCACCCAAAATTCATGATTAAATAATTCACTGAAAGAACGCAGAACTCAATATAAGCTGTGAAGCTCAGTTATGGTTTACCATAGGGCAATGATACAGAAAATTAGCCAAAGGAAGAGATGCATAGGGCGAAACCTGGGCAGGAGTTCCAAATGCAAAGCTTCCAAAGTCGTCAGGACCTGCTGCCCTCCAGGGATCAATGTGTGACAGTACCCATGGAGTACTGTCAACCAGGAAAGCTCACCTGAGCAGCACTGTTCAGAGTTTTATTGGAGCCTCATTAAACAGCTTAACTGACTGATGGTCCCCATGATAAACTCACCTCCCCAGAGGCTGAGCTGTTACCACATGGTCCAAGGGGCCCAGCAAGAATAGCAATTTCTTTCTTTCTTTTTTTTTTTTTTTAATCTCTTCTTCTTCTTCTTCTTTTTTGAGATAGGTGGTCTTACTCTGTTGCCCACGCTGGAAGACAGTGGTGCCATCTCAGCTCACTGCAACCTTTGCCTCCTAGGCTCAAGTGATCCTCCCACCTCAACCTCCCAAGTAGCTGGGACTACAGGCATGTGCCACCATGCCTGTTTTTTTTTTTGTTTGTTTGTTTGTTTTTTTGTAAAGACAGAGATTCCTTGTGTTGGACAGGCTGGTCTCTAACTCCTGGATTGCTCAAGCAATCCACCCACCTCAGCCTCCCTAAGCGCTGGGATTACAGGCATGAGCCACCGTACCTGGCTGAGAATAACAATTTCTATCACTTAGGAAATTCCAAGGATTTTGCATTTCCCAGGAGCTTGGTACAGAATCTAGACCACTATTTGGGCAAGGCCAATTCCTTACTACACAGTTTGGCCAGATTATTAACTCTTGAATAATATATTTAAAAGGTAAGACAGAATGATGCTGTTGTGGTTCTATTTAAAACAAAGTCTAACTTACAGGGAGGGCCCTGCTGACTTGCAGAAGGTCAGTCATCATGGTGTCAACCTTGTGCTTCACGTGGCCTCTCGCTCTCCAAGCCTAGCTCAGGCTGAATGACATGGCAGCTGGGCAGAGCTTCAGGACAGAGATTTTTCCATCTAAAACCAGACCTATCTTTCTCTATGAAATCTACTCTCCACCGATTTTCCAATCTGCTAACCTCATAATTTTGTTTCTTTTGCCCTTTTTACCTAAATGTTAGGAGATGAATTGTGTCCCCCGAAAATTCATAACTCCATTGCTCAATACCTCAGAATGTGACTGTATTTGAGGTGAGTGTCTTTAAGGAGGTAATTACATTGCAGTGAGGTCATAAGAAGGGGTTTAGGCCGGGCGCGGTGGCTCAAGCCTGTAATCCCAGCACTGTGGGAGGCCGAGGCGGGTGGATCACGAGGTCAAGAGATCGAGACCATCCTGGTCAATACGGTGAAACCCCGTCTCTACTAAAAATACAAAACAATTAGCTGGGCATGGTGGTGCGTGCCTGTAATCCCAGCTACTCAGGAGGCTGAGGCAGGAGAATTGCCTGAACCCAGGAGGCGGAGGTTGCGGTGAGCCGAGAACGCTCCATTGCACTCCAGCCTGGGTAACAAGAGCGCAACTGCGTCCCAAAAAAAAAAAAAAAAAAAGAAGGGGTTTAGCTTGATATGACTGGTATTCTTGTAAGAAAAGAAGATTAGCATGTAGACACAAGAAAAGACCGTATCAAGAAACAGGGAGCAGATGGCCAGCTATAAGGCAAGGAGAGAGACCTAGAAGCCATCAGCCCCGACGTCACCTTGACCTCAGACTTCTGGCCTCCAGAACAGTAAGAAAATAAATTTCTGTTATTTAAGCCACCCAGTCTGTGTCACTTTGCAGCTCTGGCAAACTAACACACCAACCAATTACAAATTCAGGTCTAAACTTTTTTTTTTTTTTTTTCTTTTTTTGAAACAGAGTCTTGTTCTGTCACCCAGGCTAGAGCGCAATAGCATGATCTCGGCTCACTGTAACCTTTACCTCCTGGGTTCAAGCAATTCTCCTGCCTCAGCTACTCCAGTAGCTGACATTACACGCATCCACCACCATGCCCAACTAATTTTTGTATTTTTAGTAGAGATGAAGTTTTGCTATGTTGCCCAGGCTGATCTTGAACTCCTGGCCTCAATAGATCCACCCACCTTGGTCTCCCAAAGTGCTGGGATTACAGGCATGGGCCATTATGCCTGGTACTACATCTAAACTCTTTCACTTGTAGAGACTCCCCATCTAATTTTTTTTTTCTTTCTTTCTTTAAGACATACTCTCGCTCTGTCACTGGAGTACAATGGCGCAATCATAGCTCACTGCAGTCCTGGGTTCATGCAGTCCTCCACCTCAGCCTCTCCAATAGCTGGAATCATAAGTACATGTCCCTACAACTGGCTAATTTTAAGTTTTTCTTTTGTAGAGACAGGGTCTCACTATGTTGACCAGGCTGGTTTTGAACTTCAGGCCTCAAGCGATCCTCCTGCCTCAGCCTCCAAAAGTGCTGGGATTACAGAAGTGAGCCACCGTGCCTGACCTTATCTCATTCCTCTGGATCTTATTTTTCATGCCTCCAACTAACGCTCACATCTACTGTCAGGTTACTTTTCCTTCAGGAACCCATAAGAGTACTCATCTGGTCAAACATCTTCCCATGACTCATTGCTCAATGAAGACCAAACTTCACAGCCCGGCAGCTAAAGACCCACTGACCTTTCCAGCTTTATCTTGCACTAGTCTCTCTGACTCAAGCCACTGCTTTGTCACTCACCAGCTACAGAACATAGCTTTCCTTCTGAGTATCTTTCCCTTCCACCTACTCAACACTCTTCTTAAAGCCTCGACTAAAAAAATCATATTCCTTATGAAAACGTCACAGATCACTCTAGTCAAAGCTCATCTCTGATGTATCTTAAACTTGGTTGTTTTTATAGCTATTGGCTTATAATAAATATTCAGGGAGCCAATTCAAAGGTTCTCATGTTATAGAGACAGAAAATGGTTTACTACCAAAAAAAAAAAAAGTCACTATATCATTAGGGAGAAAAATAAACACATAACTTAATACATGGAGAGTAACTTTTAAAATAAAATCTATACCCAGTTCTATTAATATGTCTAAATTCTTAAGATCTCACATTAATATTTAACAGTGAGACTTGTGGCCCATCCTTAGAAGGTCTCTGCTGCCTCTAAAGAGATAATTTACTGGGGAAGGCTGTTTAAATAAACCTCAAACTGTCTTGAATTTTAAAAAATTTTTATTTTAATCCACATTACAACAACACTAATATCCATTACCACACGAATTGTACTGTAGCAGAAAGTAGTAATTCCACCTTGGGTTTAATCGTTTTATCAAATGCTTGTAAACATGTGCAAGGAAGGAGGTCAGACACCGGTGCAATCTTTCAGCTAAGGCTGTCACAACAACTTTTTTTGCTTCACTAATTTGCACATGTGCTACTAATAGGGGTTACACAATAGAACTATTTATATACTCAGAGAAATTCTGAATGTCTTCTTACCTAATGTGAGATCTGGCAGCAAAGGGAAAGTACAAGGCTATGGGTCACGGACACTCTGATCCATCAATTATAGAACATTCATTTAAACGTTCCAAGGATTAAGAGAGGTAGCAATTTAACATCACCTTCATAATCAAGGGCCAGGCAAAGTCTATGATTTAAACGCTTTCAAGGTACATGTGAAGAAATGAAAACAGTCTAACCATGAGAAAGGAGGATACCCAAATTTGGACATGCCCATCATTTTATTATAGAAAAGTGAATGGTTTCTATGTTTCCATTAATAGAGCAGCAATTTAACATGAGCTTCATAATCAAAGGCATTCTATTTTATATATGATTACAAATGAAAATTCTATTACCATTGCTTTCAATCTCCCCCCGTTCATAAAATACATTGATTTGTAACAAGCTTTCATCAAACGCCTTTTCCTTGGCATCTGAATTCCAGTATAGCAGATTATATGGTCCCATCTCAACCCCCCCCAAAACTCTTCCAAGTATTCTAGAGTGCTATATAACAAACTATGTTCTGTTCAAAAAGCACTGAAATTGTGCTTTCATCTTGTTAAGAATAGTAAATAATTACAATGCTGTTAAAAACTTACTTGAACTTTGCTTCCACCTCTTCAGCAGCTTTCTGATATTGTTCAGTGGTGACTTTGTAGAACTCTGAGCTCTGTGGACAAAGATTGATAGCAAAGTTTTCACTATCTAATATGACAAAATGTGTGGAAGATTGGCAACTTCAAAAAATACATAAAACCTTGTTTCAGCCACTCAAGCAGTAGAAGGCTTTCTTGTATAGGTGGCATAGATACTTATAAAACACATGTAAAGCTACTCATTTAAATAACAGTAGAGTTGTTGGTATGTGGATTATAGTTACAGAGTACATTTTCACCGTTATAATTTCTTATTATTTTATCCTTTGGAGAGAATTCCTAACATTTTGGAAAGATTCTTTAAATCACCATTATTTGGAATCTACCTTTGTAAGGTCAAAGGATGCCTGAGATCAAAAACTGAAATTCACATACATTCATATTTACCTATTATTCCATTGTGTTCCTACTAGGATATTAAAGATCATCTCATTCTACACAATATATTTGTTGTCAAGATGGCGGCTCATGCCTGTAATCGCAGCACTTTGGGAGGCCAAGGTGGGTGGATCACCTGAGGTCGGGAGTTCGAAACCAGCCTGACCAACATGGTGAAACCCCGTTTCTACTTTAAAAAAAAATAAATAAATTAGCGTGGTGTGGTGGCGCATGCCTGTAATCTCAGCTACTGGGGAGGCTGAGCAGGAGAATCTCTTGAACCCAGGAGGCAGAGGTTGCAGTGAGCCAAGATCATGCCATTGCACTTCAGCCTGGGCAACAAGCAAACCTCTGTCTCAAAAAGAAAAAAAAAAAGATATATTCTTTATGGAGTATAAGTTGTTCTATCATTTTCACATGACCACAAGAACAGCAACAGTTATGACTAATCAGTAGGAACAAGGGGGCACATTTAGATAATTTTAATAAAAAACGTTTCCACTACTAACATGAATGGACACAGAAACAACATAAACCAAGATGCAATGGCAAAGTAATGCCTTTCCTGGCGCAGCAAAATGTATCCATTCTGATTTAGCTACACTGGAACTGGTCTTATTGCAGGAGGTGGCCTAAATGACCCCATGAGCCCTGAGACTCAATGAAATGTCCTGCAAAACACACTGTATTTAAAAAAAAAAAAAAAAAAAAAAAAACCCCACAAATACCACCAAAATACAAAAATACAGTGGTCAACTGTGTACCTTTCATCCTCTAATCACTCAGGTTTCACATGCATGGCTTGGGATCATTTATTTTTTAATAAATCATTGTTGGTCGGTGAAAAAATGAAGCTGAAATCCTCTTCACACCAGCGACCCCTTTGCATTTAACAATCTAGGTTGTCCAATGACAGTCACATCCAGGATTCTTGGATGTAGATAAAATCAATAGGTATGTGATTAGACAGCAGACTCAGGGTGGCTGGAGCCACGGACAGGTCACCATTTGAGATGATGAATGGCTTTCTATCAACCTATAGTCCCCTACGATGCTAACATTTACTATAATCTTATTTGGGCCACAATTTATCTTTCTTGCACCTGATCAATAAAGATGAACAGAACAGTTCTAAGGATCGATTGTAATTTTTTATCATTTTCAAGCACAAAGGTGCATTTCTGACATGAAGACAATATTCTAAGTGTACTGCTTCTGCATTTTATAAAATTGCAATTTGAGTGATCAACTGCACTAGTCTATCTGCTGAGAGGTTTTAATTCCTCTGTAGGTCTCAAGCTATCAAAAAACCATTTGTCATCTCAGATACTTAACTGAAGGTTATGTCACACCTTCCTATCTGTTTCACTTTTAAGATTTTTTTTCCTTTGAACTACACACCAGTCACAACGTGCTCTTTTGCAATGTTTGGCTTAGGCTTTCCTTTGAACCATTCTAACAAAGAAGGCAGCAAAAAGGCAGTTACTAATCACTAACAATAGTTACTCTCACTAAAGGCAGGGAACTCCCAGATTAATGAACTGTCGAGTGGGTATTATGTTACTAAATTATCTATTAAAATGCTGGCTAAGCAACAACATCTTAATTAATACTTTTGCTTAGTTTAAGCACTGAAACTAGTATCTGGACAGAAACAGGACTACATTGAAATATCTGGTTTCTGGTACTGTTCTGTGACCTTGAGCACGTCTTTAATCTCTACCAACTTCCCTTCCAGTGTTCCATCTATCCAATATTATGGATGAAAATATTAGCACTGCTCATTTCTGCCAAAGCTGTTGAAGAAGTCAAATAAGATAGGCAAGAGAGCTGTGAAATCTGTTAAATGTTTTTACAGAGTAGATCAACATCTAAATAAAATAATTTTGGAGGAAAATAATTAGAGTAATTCCATTCTAGGTATAGATTCTAAATGGTAAAAAGTAAATACTATACTTTTTATTAAGAATGTGCACAAAATCAAGAGTTTGCCGTAATGTAAATTAGTCAGTTCCTCTCTGCTTTGCCATACCAAATGCAGGTAAAATTATTATTAATTTTATCAACTTTCCTATAGGATGTTAAAACACACACACATGCGTGCCCACATGCGCACGCATGTACACCCCAGTACCTGCGTTACTTGCAAACTTAGCACATAATTCTCAAATTAAAGCTTTAGGGTTTATTTATGCTCTATACTTCCACCTCAGTGACCAGTTTCCAACACTGCATAAATCTTTCCAATAAAGAAAAGTCTCCAGGAGGCAACATCATGTAACAACCAAGGGAATAAACACAAGTATTCTCAAAATCTATGACAGTGTTTACTTCATTATTTAAGTATTTACGTATTCATGAAAATTAAATTCTTATTGCCCCAATAACATCCATCTTTGGGAATCAGACCCTCAAGAAGCTTTCCATCTGACATGGGAGAAAAGAACCATTATTATAATGGAAAGTCACAAATGCCAAGTTCAAAGTCACAGGTAAGTGTTTCTGGAGTTCAGAAAGAGTAGAGATCTCCTTTAGCCTCAGAAGACACTTTTAAAAATAAACAGCACCCATTCAAAACAACAACAACAACAACCACCAACCCAACAAAAATACTCATTATGTTTTCCAGTGAGAGAATGGATAAATACTGGTTATTTGTACAGTGAAAATCTATAGCATACAGATAAGGAATGAATTAGACAAACATGCAGAGCAAAAATGTTGTAGAACTGATTGGTAGGATACATCTGATGCCAAAATTGGAAAAGTGAAAAGTAATGAACAAGAATAGTAAACATCAAGTTCCACTGATTATCTCTGAGTGGCAAGGGTCACAGGGTGTGGCGGAAGTGTACAAGAAGTGCAGGATGCCACAAAGTATGGGAACACGGGCTTTGCTGTGTTGCTGTATTTTTTCAAATGAGGTGTGGGCATGCAGCTAGTTATTACGTTGGTTTAAAATACTTTATAATCCAGACAAAAATTGTATTACTCTCACTTTCCTCCAAAGGGGTTAACAATACATGATTTCGCTTGGCTAGAAATAAAGTGTATGGCAGGGGTGGGGGGGGGCAGGTACATCCTGAAGAGGTCAGCTAAGTGAAGATTGTATATATTCTTCAATACTAAACTATTGCCGTATATAGACAATACTAAGCAAACATACTCTTTTCATTTTTATTGTGAAAAAATTTGAGTTATAGAAAATAGGCACAAAATAGAAGATTCCCATATATCCTTTACCTAGGTTCCCTTTATGTCCACATCTTAGATAATTATAATACAATCATCAAAAGTAATGATTTAACAATGTTACAACAGTAGTAACTAAACTACAGACTTAATTCAGATGTTTCCAGTTTTCCTGCTCATGTTCCTTTTCTGTTTCAGGACCTAACCCTGGATCCCATGTTGTATCTAATTGCCATGGCTCCTTAGTCCCCTTTAATCTATAACAGTTCCTCATCTTCCTTGTCTTTTATGACCTTGACACTTCCAAAGAATACTGGTCAGATGTTTTGTATCACAGACTTGAGATTTGGGCTCATCTGGTGTTTTCTCATGGTTAGCATTTTTGCACTACTGGGAAGAAATCTACAGAAGCAATGTGCCCTTCTCCTGCCTAATTTCAGGGGCTACATTATGGCAAAAGATCTTTTGATTGATTACCTTGATTATCTGATTAAAGTGGTGTCTGTGGGGATTCTCCACAACAAAGCTACCATTTTTCCTTTTTGTAATTGATATCTTGCAGGAGATACTTTGATGCAAACGTTCTGTTTCTTCTCAAAGTTTCATCCATCACTTCTTCATATCCACTGGTGAGTCCTGTCTGCAGCAATGACTATTACGGTATTCTGATGGTGCATTAATTTCTTTCTCTGTCTTTTTTTTTTTTTTGAGATGGAGTCTCGCTCTGTCGCCCAGGCTGGAGTGTAGTGGTGCGATCTCGGCTCACTGCAACCGCCACGTCCCAGGTTCAAGCAATTCTCCTGCCTGAGCCTCCCCAGTAGCTGGGATTACAGGCACATGCCACTACGCCTGGCTAATTTTGGTTGCTAGCCCTTGGTTCAAGGTCTATGGACCACCTGCCTCAGAATCACTTGCGGAGTTGCTAAACTGTAGAGTCTTGGGCCACATCCTGAATATCTGGGGATGGGGCCAGGACGCTGCATTTTTTACAAGCAGCTTGGGTGATTCTGAATACACACACTAAATTTGTAAACTATGGGGTTTCTAGAACAATGCAAGAATAATATAGTATTTAGCTTGCCATTCAAAGTGAAAAAAAAAAAATCAGTGTTTTCGAAGAATGATGGCAAATAACCACTTTTCATAATTAAATGTAGCTATAATCTTTACAAAGGTACTGCAAATTAGCGATTCTGCCAATGTTGTTGGCAGATCACTGGTGGACCCCAAACTGCTCCAAGAACTCTGTCTTCACCACACACTGCCTAGCAACACTATAGTGTTCCTACCCTGAATGGGGACTGAGAGGTAAGAGCACAACCATTTTTGGAACGGTTGCTTTTGTTATCTGTGTTATCTTGGGATGGTAATAGGCTGCACATGCTGCTATCTTGTTTATTAAGTATAGATGACTATTACTTTAATGTCATCATTGTAACTGTTT